AGTGGTTAACAATCCGCCTTCCAGTGCAGGGGATGCGGGTTCAATCCCCGGTTGGGGAACTAAGATCCCACATGTCGTGGAGCAACTAAGCCTGCGCGCCACAACTAGAGAAGCCCGCGTGCCGCAACAAAGACCCAGAGCAGCCAAAAAATAAAAATAAAAAGATTCAAAAAGAGAGTTTGTTCACATGTCAGAGGGGAAGAATGCTAATAGGAGTCAGAGAAACCTATGGGCTTCCTGTCTGGTTCCCAGTCGTCTAAGGCAGAATATAATAATAAGGAAAAATAGAATATACTAATGATCATTTATTGTCTACTGTGTCACAGACAATGTGTCCAGTACTTTACTGATCCTGAGGGGCTGTGGTGTAACGTGTGTCCCCCCGCCCCGCACCCCCCCTCCCCCGCTCCCCGCCACCTGGCTGGGCAGAGGCAGAGGAGCGTGAGAAAGGGAAAGTGAAATGCTTTCACCCACTGCAGGCATGGGGAGAAATTCCTGAGTGTTTCATATGCGACAGGCCCAGCGTGACTATACGTCTTTTACAGATGAGGAGCGGATTGGATTAATAAAGCGATTTGTCCAAGTTCACAAACTCTGGCTCCCAAACTCTTGCCTTGTGATTTCCTGAGTGATAGGGGTGCTAGGAGCACCTTTTGTTTTTTTCTTTTTTGCGGTACGCGGGCCTCTCACTGTGTGGCCTCTCCCGTTGCGGAGCACAGGCTCCGGACGCGCAGGCTCAGCGGCCATGGCTCACGGGCCCAGCCGCTCCGCGGCACGTGGGATCTTCCTGGACCGGGGCACGAACCCGTGTCCTCTGCATCAGCAGGCGGACTCGCAACCACTGCGCCACCAGGGAAGCCCGGAGCTTGGTTTTTAATCTCAAGCTGTTGGGACTTCCCTGGTGGTGCAGTGGTTAAGAATCCACCTGCTAATGGAGGGGACGTGGGTTCGAGCTCTGGTCCGGGAAGATCCCACATGCCACGGAGCAACTAAGCCTGTGCGCCACAACTACTGAGCCTGTGCTCTAGAGCCTGTGAGCCACAACTACTGAGCCCGTGTGCCACAACTACTGAAGCCCACGTGCCTAGAGCCCGTGCTCCGCAACAAGAGAAGCCACCACAACGAGAAGCACACACAACGCAACGAAGAGTAGCCCCCGCTGGCCGCAACTAGAGAAAGCCCATGCGCAGCAACGAAGACCCAACGAAGCCAAAAAAAAAAAAACCACAAAAAACAAAAAAATCTCAAGCTGTTTTTGGCTAGCTGTTAGCAAGGAATTGACAGCGTCAGATCTGTGTGTTGGCAAAAGCCCTTTGGCTGAAGCATGGCGAATGGATGGGGGTGGGACCGATTTAGGCAGGGGTGGGCAAACTATGGCCTGTGGGTCTGTATCCCCTGTGAGCTAAGAATGGATTTTGCATTTTTAAATAACTGAGAAGCAAATCAAAAGAAGAGTAATATTTTGTGTCATAGGAAAACTATATGAAATTCAAATCTCAGTGAAATTCAAATCAAGTTTTACTGGAACACAGTCATGTTCGTTTACTTATGTGCTGTTCATGGCTGCTTTTTGACCCTAATGGCAGAGTCGCGACAGAGACTGTATGATATACAAGTACCCAAAAAAATATCCTTCATTTTGCCTCTTGGCTCACAGAGCCTCAAATACTTACTATCTGGCCTTTTATGGAAAAAATTTGCTCACCCTTGAAGTAAGAGATTATTAGCAAGAGGCCTGCATTAGGATAGTGACAGAGGGGAGTGGGGGGATGGAGAAAACTGAATGAATTTGGGAAATATTCAGATTTCTGGCTTGAGCACTGCATGAATGGTGGTGCTAGTCAGGCCAGAAATACCAAGATGAGGAGAAGTACAGGGGCCAGGAGGGAAGAGTGAGAACAGTTCTCAGGCCTCCTTTGTGTGACAGTCTGATTCCTGGAGTTACATAGTGTGTGTGTGTCACCAAAGATGCTAAGAACAAAGGCATCACCTCAAACAGCTGGAGGCTGGTGTGGGGCGCCTGGCATTCAAAAGGCTTTTGTGCTATAAAGGTGAGCAGGGGACTTCCCTGGTGGCGCAGTGGTTGGGAATCCGCCTATCAATGCAGGGGACACGGGTTCGAGCCCTGGTCCGGGAAGATCCCACATGCCACGGAGCAACTATGCCTGTGCGCCACAACTACTGAGCCTGCGCCCTAGAGCCCGAGAGCCACAACTACTGAGCCCGCACGCCACAACTACTGAAGTTCACGCGCCTAGAGCCCATGGTCCACAACAAGAGAAGCCACCGCAATGAGAAGCCTGTGCACCGCAACGAAGAGTAGCCCCCGCTCTCCACAACTAGAGAAAACCCGTGCGTAGCAATGAAGACCCAATGCAGCCAAAAAGAATTAAAAAAAAAAAAAAAAAAAAAAAGGTGAGCAGCTACCTGGGAGAATTTACAGTTTGGTCAGCACCAGTTCTGGGAGAGGCCCAGGAGAATATGGCGTTGTCCGTAGATGCCAGTCTCCCCTCATCCATCTCCTAGTTGTCTGGTGAGGTTGGCATACTGGACGGAGGCAGGGCCTGCCTCAGCGTAGTATCAGCCAAGTGAGCTGATCTTTCGGGGACCTAGGGTTCCTGCTGAAGTGTGGAGGTAGGAGCTGAGGTGGCCAAGACGATCTACTCTATCATTTGTCCTGTTTTCCTTCCTATTCTCTGGGAAGCAGTCCAGGCCGGTTCTAAGGGCCTCCTTTCTTGACAGGGCTATTCCCTTGACTGCCTGCAGATGGCGCTAAAGCGACACGATGGGAATGGAGGGGTGGGGGCCGGCGGGAGGAGAAATACTCCTAAGTCGCCCGCTTCTCTAGGTCTGCTCCTGCCCGGAGGAGGCGGCATTCACAAAACCACCCCATTCTTTCCCTACTATCCTGCTCTGGCACAAAACGCCCTTGTTTCTGGGGCAGAGAAGTATTCCCTCAAGGCGGGAGGGGGTGCAGTGTCTGGGGTGGACGATGCCATGTCCAGCCATCCTCTCCTGTCGGGCTCCAGCCATCTCCTCCAACTTCTGGCAGCTGGCTCTGCAGGAATCTCGCTTCAGTGGCTTTCAGGGCACAGACGCCACCTCTGGGAAGGCTTCTTGGATTGCACGCTCTCCCCCACCCCTATTCCTTTCTCCAAGCCCTGTTTCTTCTCCCTGGGCTGGGGCGATGGGACTCTGGACTCTTTTAGAAGCCCAGAGGAGAAGGGAGGAGAAGGGAAAGGTGTGGGCCTGAAAATGGACTTGGTGTCTGGCCTTCACCTGCGAGCAGCCTGGTCCTATGGTAAAAGTCACTCAGGTGCTTTTCCTACAGCCTGTCTCATCCTCTTAAGGCTCCTGGAGGGCTCCTTCCCCTTTCAGAGCTGAGGACCCAGAAAGTAAGAGACATGCCTGAGGGGAGGGGGCACGGGCCTGTGCCTGGGACAAGGGACACGTGACCTGCTAGCCCCATTCCTCACCCGAATACCAGCTTTGACCGCCTCCCCCCACCCCCAACTCCTGGCCTCCAGTAGAGGTCAAGCCAGTCTGATTCCAACACCCCCGCTCTCCCAATACTGCTTGGCTTCCTCAGTCTCCCCTGCAACCCCTCATCCGTGTCCCAGGACCAATGCCTTCAACACAGGGCAGGGCATTTAACACGAAAGGGGGCTCAGGGCTAAGCGGTGGCCAGGGAGGGACCCTCTCCAGGTCTTGATCTGACAACCCAGGAAGCTGTGCTGTGGGAGAGGGGGATGGGCTTTGTGTCCTACAGTCATTCTCCACAGTGCAGTGCACCTGGCAGCCCTGGGCTGGGCTGTCCTGTCCGCCTCCTGAGTGGATTGCCCCTGCCCATAGCGTCGGAAGCTTCCTTTTCTAAGGGTTCTGGGAGTCCTGACAGCTGTGTGTGGGGTGAATCTTCACTCTCTTTCTCTGTAAGGGTTTAGCCCCACCTGGGACCTCATTCCCTAGGCCAGCATTTCTCAAACATTAGGCTTCATCACAATCACCTGGACGGCTTGCTGAACCAGATGGCTCCGACCCACCCCTAGAGCTTCTGATTCAGTAAATCTGGGGTGACCCTGAGAACTTGTACATCTAATAAGCTCCCAGGTGATACTGATGCTGCTGGACAGGAGCACTGTGCACTGAAGGATTAACTCAGCAGGTCCGGGTTGTCCAAACGCCACACATTCCAAAGAAAGGTTTGCCCCTTGCCTGGCTCCTGGGAGACGGCCCCTAAACCCTTGGAATATCTTGCCTGGTAAGAGTGTCTCTGCTTATCTGGGGGCCATGGGCCTCTTCGTATCAGTTTAGCCTCTGGAGGGGCCGGAGACTAAGTAAGGGCAGCTATGTGGGTGGTCAGGAGCCTCCGTTAAACGCTGGACACCAAGACTTGGCTCGGCTTTGCTGGCTGGCAGTACTTCGTACAGCTGGAAACTGTGTTTCCTGGCTGGTGACTCATTGTTGCTGGGAGAATTAAGTGCTGTCCCCATAACTCCACTGGGAGAGGACAGTAGAAGCTTGCAGCTGGTCTCTCCTGGACGCTGCCTGTGCACCTTCATCCTTTGCTGACTCTAATTTGCATCTTTCACTGTAGTAAAATATAACCGCTCAGCAACTTTGCTTCCGGGAGACAGCTCTGCCCACTACAGCCCTACTCACCTGAGCCGGGGACCCTAGGTGCTGGGCCCACAGGTTTCAGTAGATCCAGCCACTCTGTGCTGCCCCTCCTGAGACCACTCTCAGGGCAGTGACCCATTTCTTATGGTGCTTGGACCCTCCCTGCCCCATCCTGCCCTGGCTTCAGACCAGGTCCTAGAGGGAATTCCCGGGTGGTCCAGTGGTTAGGACTCCTCGCTTCCACTGCAGGGGGCATGAGTTCCATCCCTGTGGGGAACTAAGATCCCGCAGGCTTCGAGGTGTGGCCAAATTAAAAAAAAAAAAAAAAAAAAAGAGCCAACACAGGGAAGAAGGCCCCTTAGCGCCCGCTGGTTATGTGGCTTTATTCACAGACTCAGCACTTGCTGAGGTCAGGAGGAAAGAACATTTGGGACCTGGGCCTGGAGATAAGGGTGGCTGGGAGGCCATGCATGGGTCGGATTGGGGAGCTCACAGCAGAGAACCTGTTGGCTGGGCCAGGCCGGTGTGGGGTGGGGCCGGAGGCAGGCAGCATGCGGGAGGCCTGGCTAGATCTGATGGAACAGATCTCTCCAGGTGGCGTCTGTGAGCCAGGGAGGGTGGGACTGAGGGTTTCTCTGGGGCAGGGGGTATAGGTGTGGGGCTGGACAGCAGGCACCCCTGCCCCTCACTCCCAGGGAAATGACACAGTGGGACAGCTGGGACACCTGGCGCCTGGTCCTGATGCTGCCTCGGGACTTGGACGGGGTGACTAACCATGCTGGTCCCCTCTGGTGTCATTGTCCTGCTGATGCTTGGACATGTGCCTTGGGGGTGACCCACCTAGGGACACTCTGGGGACATGTGTAGGGAGGCTGGATAATCCCAGAGAGTGTGCCTAGGGCCCAGCAGAGTGGGCTGTGCCTGGGGAGGGAGGGGGTCCCTGGGGAGGGCGGGGGATGCTCCCTTTGAGCCACGCTTCTGTCTCAGTGGTTGGTGTCAGTTCCCTGCTGGCAGGGGGTGCCGTCTCCCGCTCAATCCAGGCCAGCCCCTGGGCCAAGGATGACTGCACAGCTAAATCTCCTTTCTCCTGGCCCGCACTGCTGGCCCTGGATGGACTTCCTGTCTAAACACAAACAAGGAAGCCAAAGCCCGGACCCTCCTCCTGGGCCTTCTTCCTGGTGAAGGGCCCATTCCCACCCAGCAGGGAACAGAAAAACCAGTTCCCCGGGTGCCCCTCCCTGCCTGGGAACAGCAAAATTTGGAAAGTTGGCAGGGTCTCCCTGGGCTGTGCAGGAAGGTGACCTAGGGGCCCGGGAAGGCTGGTGGGGCCCGAGCAGGGCCCTGGGTCTGAGGTCACAGCGCCTGCCCGCTTTCCACCGGGGCCTGGGGTGGAGGGACGCAGGTGAGGGGCCCTCAGCATTGGCGGGAGGGGGTGCGGTGCACAGAGCCGGGGCGCTTGGGGATCTTGCGCCAGCGACGCTTGTCCCAGCGGCAGAGCAGCAGCAGGCGGAAGGTGTCCCGGAAGGCCTTGTTGCAGAGCGCGTAGCACATGGGGTTAATGGTGCTGTTGACGTAGCACAGCCAGTAGCCCAGCTCCCACAGGGTCTCGGGGACACAGTCCTTGCAGAAAGTGGACACCAGCACCATGATGTTGTACGGTGTCCAGGTGAGGATGAAGGCCAGCAGGATGGCGCTCAGGGTCCGAGCCGCCTTCTTCTCCTTGACCAGCGAGAAGGTCTTCCGCTTGGCCAGCTGCCCCTTCCCACGGGGCTTCTGGCCCTTGCCCGCTCGCTCACGCCCCTTCCGGGTCGGCCTCTTGACCGTATTCGGGGAGCTCCGGGGCGGCTGCTTGGGGGGGGGCCTGCGCCCCGGGGTCCACCATGGGCATCTTGATCACCACCTCAGAGCCGGGCTCCTCACCCTCCGAGGACGTGAGTGACTCCATGGAGCCTTCATCCTCCTCCTCCTCTTTCCAGCTGTAGGCCTGGAGCAGCCGGGGGGCCCGGCAGCAGCGGCAGCAGCGCCCTGGAGGGGTCTCCGGGGAGCCCTCAGCCCCTGGCTGGGACCTCTCTGAGCTGCTGCTGCTGCCGCCCCCCTTCCCCGGCGTCTCGGAGCCCTGCAGGGCCGCCAGCTCCCGGGCCCGGTTCTCTGTCTCCCGGTAGATGCGCCAGTAGAGCGTGCACATGACCGTGACGGGGAGGTAGAAGGCAGCCATGGCTGTGCCAAAGGTGATGATGGGCTGGGACAGGAACTGGATATAGCACTGCCCGGCCAGCACCGTCCGCTCCCCTACCAGGTACTGCCAGAAGAGGATGGCTGGGGCCCAGAGGACGAAAGAAACCAGCCAGGCCAGGCCGATCATCAGGGCCGCCCGGCGGGGTGTGCGCTTGGCGCGGTAGCTCAGGGGCCGGGTCACGGAGAAGTAGCGGTCAAAACTGATGAGCAGCAGGTTCATGACCGAGGCGTTGCTGGCCACGTAGTCCAGGGCCAGCCAGAGGTCACAGGCCAGCGTGCCCAGAGCCCAGTGGCCCATGAGCAGATACGTGGTGTAGAGGTTCATGGAGAAGGTGCCAATGATGAGGTCGGCACAGGCCAGGCTCAGCAGGAAGTAGTTGTTGACCGTCTTGAGCTCCGTGTTGACCTTGAAGGAGATGAGTACCAGCAGGTTGCCGGTCACCGTGGCCAGTGACAGGAGGCCCGTGGTGATCCCAATGAAGGCCACTTGCCAGGGACCCTTTCCCGGTGCCAGGACGGTGATGTTGGGGCTGACGGCGGGTGGGGCTGAGGTATTCATGGTGGCTGGGCGGGGTCGATGGGGGACAGCCCCTTCCTCTAGTCACAGTACAGGCCTTCCTCGGGGGCGGTCATCACCTGAAAAGAGAGGACACGGGCTTGGGTTGGGCTGCTGGACGTCTCCCAGAGTCCAGAGTGGAAGGTGCCGGCAGCGAAGCCTCTGCCTTCTCGGAGCTGCGGGCCAGACGGCGTCACACCCCCCTTGCTGGTGCCCACACCAGGTCACTTTTAATGTACTTTCCCAGCCTTGAATGGATTTACCAGCAGCACAGGGGGAGGGGATGGCTTTGGAATCCAGAGATCTGAGTCCTCATTCCCACTCCACCATTCAGACGCGGAGCCTCAATTTTCTCATTGGGAAATCGCTACTAACGCTTGTATACGGGATTGCCAAATTTTCACAGCATTTCACTCAATTTTATTAAAGCTCTCATTTACTGAGTAGTTACTACATGCCAGAAACAGTGCTAAGCACTTCACTGAATTACCTAATTTAATTGTTGAACATTTGTAGGAGGAAGGTCTCTTATGGTCCCCATTTCACTGAGGCGACCGTGGCTCCGAGCAACTCCAAGACCTGGCCGTGGCGACACAGGTGGTGCATGTGATCAGAACCCACCTCCCTCGCTCACTCTCGGAGCACGTGAAGACCCGGTGGGATTCTTCCATCAAATAAGGAGAGATGGGAAGGCGGGGGAGGGCTCCAGAGAAGACAGGGGGAAGAGATGGGAGCAGAGGGGTGCTGCGTGTGTGCGCCTGAGTGTGTGTGCTTGTGCGCAGTTTGGGGCTGGATCGGACCCTCAGTGGGGGCAGCGGGGGACGTTGTGCTGGGCCTGGACACTTGCCGGTGGTTGACGATCCGGAGTAAAAGCAGGCAGCAGGCGCGAGGGCCTCAGCTCCCAGATAAGCGGGGGTCTGGCCCCAGATGAGGTGTGGGAGGACTCCTCTACCTCCCCACTCGGTTCCTGGGCCCCAGCTGAGTGGAGGAAAGCAAGGGGAACCAGAAGATGCCCCAGACTTTTCCTGAAGCTGGAGTGCAGCTCGGGCACTCAGGGTGGGACGAGAGAAAAGCCACAGCTCTTAGTGACCACTGGCCGGGCAGAGGCCTCGACCGCTCAGCCACGGCCTCGCCGCTGTATGTGTTGACTGCTTCCTTCCTGTTCTGGGCTTCAGGCATCCTTCTATGTGTTGAAGAGATTGGGGTCTCCTCCTAGCTGCAGCTGTGGCTTCAGGGGCTGTATTGTTGGAAAAATTCCGAGGGAGAGACGTTGGGCCCGGCAAGCCCTGATGTTTCTTGGGACCTGGTCTGTGACAGAGAGTCTGTGAGGGGGTCGCCGCATGACGGATGCCTCGGCGGTGTGTGACTTGGGTGTACTGTCAGTGTGTGTGACAGCGACTGTCAGCATGAATTCAGAGTGTGACAGAACAAGGAAGAAAAGCTGTGGCTGTCAGTGCTTGTGTGTCTGGGACAATTTGCACGTGAGGGGGCACAGGTGACGTCCCGGTTGAAGGACCCAGACTCTGGAGTCAGACTGTCCGCATCTGAATCCAGGCTACACCACGTACTGGGTGTGTGGTCTCCGCTAGCGATGTAACTGTTATGTGCCTCGGTTTCCTTAACTGACAAACGGGGATAATGTTAGTCCCTAGCTAATACATCGAGGAATTATCGCGAGGCTTAAAGAGTCAGTAGATATAAAGTACTTAGAACAGCCCTGGTCCATGGTAAGCACTAAGTTCCCGTTGACTCTTAGCACGGGTAGTAGCGAGGGCTCCCTCCTGCCTAGAAGTGTCTGCTTCTTTTTTTTTTTTTTTTTTTTTTTTTTGCGGTACACGGGCCTCTCACTGTTGTGGCCTCTCCTGTTGCGGAGCACAGGCTCTGGACGCGCAGGCTCAGCGGCCATGGCTCACGGGCCCAGCCGCTCCGCGGCATGTGGGATCTTCCCGGACCAGGGCACGAACCCGCGTCCCCTGCATCGGCAGGCGGACTCTCAACTACTGTGCCACCAGGGAAGCCCAGTGTCTGCTTCTTTGATTAAAAATTTCTAATACTATGGGGAATTCCCTGGCGGTCCAGTGCTTAGGGCTCTGAACTTCCACTGCAGGGGCCATGGGTTCAATCCCCGGTCGGGGAACTAAGATCCCGCATGCCAAGTGGCACAGCCAGAAGAAAAAAAAAAATCTAATACTGGGACAACAGCAACAAATAATAACGGTCATTGCTATTATTTAGCATCCCTGAGGGCCAGTCGCCGCTCAGAGCACTTATGTGCCCTATCTCACTTAACCTTAATGGGGAACCTATGACCTAGGGGTTGTTTTTCTCTCCATCTTACAGATGAAGAAACTGAGGCTGAGAAAAGCATGAGAATATGCACAAGGTCACACAGCTAAGGTAGGAACCAGGATTGGAGCCCAGGCAGTCTGTTCCTATGAAACTTTATTTATAAAAATTGATGGTCGGCCTGGGGGCCATAGTTTGCCAATTTGAACTAAGAAATATTACATTAAAATATGATTTATCTTGCTTACTGAGTTTTGTTGTATCCTCCGCCTTTAACCAAAGTCAGGCGCTGGGCGGGAGGCTGAGATCAGACGGCGGGTGCTGGGGCTTTTCCCCGTGAGGCCGCTGGTGGGAACCACCCTTGACAAGGTGACTCTGAACAACTCTTGTCCCTTTGATCTTCTGGTCTCAGTGCTGTTTGTGCCCGTTGCAGAAATCGAGCCACTGAGGCCCAGAGAAAAAAGGGAAGGAGGCGTTGTGTAGCTCAAGGCCTCCCGATTCCTAGACTGGGTGCTGCCTCACCCCCCAGCCCCTGGGTGCCCCGGAGCAGCTCTGTAGCCCCCAGCGGCTTCCTGGGCCAAGATGCGCAAAGGCTGGGTCAGAAGAGGAGCTTTAGGGCGTGAGAGGCTGTACCCTCCACAGCCGTAGGGGCCTCTCGTCTGTCTGGGCGCGTTGCGGCCAAGTGTTCTGCCATTGTACATGGCCCTTATGCCACAGCAGGGTTAGGACTAGGGCGGGGGGAGTGAGGCACTTGTCTTGGGTGCAAAATTTAAGGAGATGCCCCAAACTCAGTCAATCAAGAAAATAACATTTTAATGAAATATTTAAAGAATAGAAATCAATGCAAAACATCCATCATGAACACAATTTTAAACCAAGACAGGATCCAACCCCGCACTTGCACAAACACCCCTATCACCCATGCCTCGCACTAATCCTGGCCCTGGTTCTGACAAAACTTGATTTGCAAAAGCAGACCACCTGTGGGCTGTAGTTTGCTATTTGATTTTTAAAAATATTACATTACAATATTATTTATCTTGACTAGTGAGGTATTTTTGTGAGCCCCCCACCTAGAAGTTTTGCTCCAAGGCGAGTACCTCACTTGTCTCACCCTAATTCCTGCATTGCGGACCACAGCCCTAGGTTTGAATCTCCAAGCTGTCCCTTCCTAGCTGTGTGATCATCGGCAATGACTTAACCTTTCCTTCCCTGCAGCCCTGCATCCCTGAGCCGATGAGGATAATAGTATCCAAAGTGCCTGGCACTGAAATGACACTCAGTCAAAGGCCTCTGCTATTGTTCCCATCTCCTCATTCCGATCCACTGCTCAGCGAACTCTTACCTGCCCCTTCCCCTCCAGACCTCAGGCACAGCCCCTCTCTGGTCCCCAGACTGCTCATCTGTACGGTGGAGGAGTTGGAGCAGGCTGACATCTGGGGAGAGTTTACAGGCTCCTGAAACCAAGATCTCAAGATGGCTCGAGAGCATCAAGATCTCAAAATAGCTTGAAAACTAGCCAAGAATACCCTCATCTGTGAAATGGACCACATCCTAGAGGTGAGGCTGCAAAGGCTGAAGGCTCACTCAGCTCCTCTCAGCCCGGGACCTGCAGGCTCCAATGCCTGCACTCTTTCCGCTTGGTGGACCCTCTCTGCCCCACCTATGGGCTCCCATCGGGGACAGCTCGGGGAAGGAGAAGGGCAGAAGTTCTGGGGAACTGGACCCTGGTTCTTGCCACCCCCTGGACCTTCTGAGCCCCTGAGATTCAGCCCAAGAACAGGGCTGTCAATGACTCTGCCCTTCCTCCACCATCAGAAGTGGGAGTCCTCCCCCAAACCCCTCTTGGACAGTAATTTGCTCCAGATAAGGTTCCTGCTCTGGTCCTTGCTGTGTGACCTTGGGTGAGTCTGCTTATCTCCTTATTGGGGGCAGTCCTCTGCCTCTTCAAGGCTACTGAAGGGTCAGCGAGTTGATGGCTGAGAAGGAACATGGCTTCCGGTGATTGTGGCTGATTCCCCTGCGGGGACGAGCTCTGGGCTGAAAGTCAGGGTGCCAGGGTTCAGCCGCAGCTCCAGAATTTCTACGAAGGAGGGCCTTAGGGTTAGCCGTCTGGTTGAAAGGGGGCTGGAAGCTGTATTTGCATAGCATATTCTGTGAAAACATCCATGGGGTTGGGGGAGTTGGTAAATGAGGATTGCAGGGCCTGCGGGGGAGACTCCTCAAGGAAGTCCTTGCACTGCCTCTGCTTCAAGCCCCATCTCTGCTCTTGTCTTGCTGTGTGACCTTGGGCAAATGATTGTCCTGACCTGGTCACCCTCCTGTAGGATGAGTGTTTGTATGTGAGGGTGTGTGCATTGCTGAGTGAGAATAAGAAATAATGAGGGTGAGTCTTGGTGAGGATGGGTTGGGACTCATCCTCTGAGGGTGTCTGGGGTACAGGAAGGTGGAAAGGAAGCAGGCGGTGCTTTTCTGCCCAGCGCTGTGGCTTCCTGATGAAGGTTGTTGGGAGCTTTTAATAATATTATTAATAATATCACAGCAACTAATATTTACAGACTGCTTACTATAACCAGACACGGCTCTAAGCATTACATACATGATTTAATTGACCTGTTACAAACCCTTGGGAAGTAGGTTCTGTTATCTTCAATTTGCAAAAGGGGCAGTGAGGCTTTCAGACCTTAAGGGCCTGACAGCTCATCAGCGGTGCAGCCAGGATTTGGACCCAGGTAGTCTGCCTCTGGGGCTAACCTCTTGGGCCCCTACCCTAAACTGCTGTGGGGATTG